CTGTGCTATACTCCAGGCATGCTGCATTGTATGTTATTCAAATTTCTCTGCAATGATAAAAAGAAAGAGGCAAAGAGAAAGATTCTAGAGTGAAATAACATGACAACAATCAAAAAGGTTCAAATATATGTAATATAAAAGGCCCAGAAGTATGTGTCAGAGCTCTGAGTTCTGGTTCTGCTTCTTCTACATGATACCTGATAACCTACCAGCAAAACACTCCTTCCGCGAGACTACAATTAATTGAGGTTTTGACCCAAATTATCTGATACTCTATGCTAAGTACAAACCAAGAAATTGCACCAGTGTATTTTCTAATCTAAAACAACAACAACAACAAACTAACTAAATCAAATTTATCTTTTTTTTTTAAAAGTCCTCTATTATTGATGTAACCATTAGACTGGTCCATATAGCACATCACCGATAGAGATGATTACATGTGTTTCTTAGGGTTGCTATAACAAAATACCAAAAGTGGGTGATTGTAGCAACAGAAATATATTAATGTGCAGTCCTGGAGAGTAGAAGTCTAAAATCAAGGTATCAGCTTGCTCCCTGAGACCCCAGATAGGATCCTCTTTTGTCTCTGCCTGGTTCTGATTTTAATTTCATTCTGATCTCTTCCTCTGTGATCACATAGCGTCCAACCCTCACCCCCACATGTATTTCTCTTCACGTTACTCTCCCTTTTCTTACAAGGATGTCAATCATACTGGGTAAATATGACCTATTCTGAATTCAATTAATTATATGTGTAATTATTCTTTCTCCAAAGAGGGTCCTACTCTTGAGATATTGGGGGAAGTACTTGAGCCTATCTTTTCAGGCGGAGGACATCATTCATAACAGTGATTATGGGAAAAGTGCATTGTTAGAGTATGTACAGTCAAACCCAACAGCTTAAAGAGAGAAAACAATGACATTTGCTGAATTGACTGACAATAGCACAACTTTCATATAATGAATCACTTCTTAAACGATGATATCTCTGCTGAAGAACTGAGTGGCATGGAAATACATTCAGTGCCAAAATTTCAACCCTTAAGGTTGGTAAAGGTGGCTCAGACAAGACTCAGAGTCAGACACTGAAGGGAAGAGTGATCAAAATAGCTGTGCTTCTGTACAGCACAAATTCAAATTCAGAACCAGCACCTCTGAGAGTTTGTCCTGAGAAAGTTAATGACCATGAAGAAATCCTTGGAACTCAATCTAGTCAATCAGTCAATCTTTAAATATTAAGAAATGCTTATATTATATTTTCCTCTTAAATTTTGGTAGATGAGTGGGAAGTATGCAAGATAAACCTGAAAAATATCTTCTTGCCAGATAGCAGAGAAGTTACGGAAGACTACTGAGGCCACGTTGAGAGGACTTAGGAGCTAAGCACAGGGCTTATACCTTCAGAAGACAGGAAAGTCTGTACATCAATGAGAATAAGTGCAATGGACAAAAACACATCCAATTCATTTAAATCTCACGAGTTCTCGATCACACTTGTATAATTCAAGGCTCCCTGGAGAAACAGAAGCAATAGGATATATAAAGAAATATAGAAAGAGACTTATGAAGGCTCAAATAATTAAGGATTTAAGAAGTTTCATAATCTGCCATCTGCAGACTGGAGCCCCAGAAAAGCCAGTGCTGTAGTTCCAATCCAAATATTTAATCTGAGAACCAAGGAGAGCCCATGGTATAAGTTCCTGTCCAAAGACCCAGGAAGCAGGAATACCAATTACATGGGAAGGAGAAGATGACTGTTCCAGCTCAGAGTCAAATTCACACTTACGCCATCTTTTGGTTCTATTCATGCCCTCAGCAGATTGAATGATTCCACCAATATTGATGAGGGTGATCTTCTTACTCATTTTACTAATCAAAATGCTAACAACCCTCAAAGACACACCCATAGTTTTGCCATCTATGTTGTCACCCTTTAAGTCTATCAAGTTGACACGTATAATTAATTGTCACAATAATTAAGAGAAGGTGAGGAATTTGGTCCTCTTAGGAGATGATAAGAAACCAACTTGTTATTCTAAAAATTTTTAAATAAAAGAAAAAAGTCAGGTATTGGTCCTGCCTTGTTTTAGTTAGCTTTTTCATCACTGTGACCTGACAAAAACAACATAAGAAGAAAAAGTTTATTTAGGGCTCATGGTTTCAGAGGCCTTAGTCTGAAGATGGCTGACTCCATTTCTTGGAGACTGAGGTGAGGCAGAGGATCATGGCAGAAGTGGGTAGCAGAGGGAAGCAGCTCAGGACAGGATAACCAAAAAGTAGAGAAAGGTCTTGTTCCCCAAATAGAAAGTATAAATCCCAAAGGTATGCTCCCACTGACCAACACTCTCAGTCACCTGCACACAGTTAATCCATTCAAGTGGATTAATGCACTGATTAGATTAAGACTCCCATAACCCAATCATTTCATCTCTGAACCTTCTTGTATTGTCTCACAAATGAGCTTCTGGGGGACACCTCATAGCTAAACCATAATATCTGAGATAGCAGTATCACAAATTCAAAGGCAACCTCAGCAATTTAGCAAGAAAGGGTCTCAAAGTAAAAAAATTAAAAGGCTGGGAATATAGTTCAGTGGTAAAGTGCCCCTGGGTTCAATCCCCAGTACCAAAAAAAAAAAAAAAATTTGATACAGAGGGGAACCCAATGAATTACTTAATGTGTATCAATCAATTAGAGGTGAAAACCTTCTAGCATCCTGTTCGCGGTATTTGAGTATTATATTTATGACATTCATGACACAAAATCTGTGGGACATTTGTGGAAATTTTAATATTATCTCAACATATTTTATGATATTAAGAAATTGCTGTTAGATTGTTAGCAATGATCATGGCATTAAATTTTTTTAAGAGTCCTTATCTTTTAGCAGTACATACTGAAGCACTTCCAAATGAAATGATATGATGTCTGGGATTTGCTTCAAAATGATAAGGAGTCAGAGAGAGGGAGTACTTAGGACAGAACTTGCCATAGGCTGATAATGGGTAGGTCGATGAAAGTTTGTTGAAGAATTCTTTCCACTTCCACAGATGTTTAAATTCTTCTATAATGAAGAAAAGTAGTCGTAAAATTTTCATAGACTGAGAATTTGATTTTTTTTTAGTAGAAATTGATGAAACATGTTTGTGTCATAACTAGCTGGGTAATCCTGAGCAAGGCATATAAGGGTAATAGTTCCTTCTCATAAAATTAAAAGAGTGAATTAGATTATCTCATATTTTATTAAATTAATTCCACTACCAAACCATCAATGTTCTGAGGGCAAGCTCTGTTGTTATTTGCCTTTGTCTCCTGCAAGATAGTCTAGCGCCTTGCAGCATACACGCAGCCCGTCCATGCTGAGTTGGGTTGAATTCCCTGCTAATATACTACCTTATCCGCATAAGGTAATCACTTAAGCCACTTAAGTTGAGGGTCCTTGGGAATTCTCTTTTCAGGTGTGACTTCTAATCTTGTAAAGGACATATTTTTACCCAGGAGCCTTTTGGCATCCCTCAAATGTCATCATAAAAGAAGTCGTTTACTCAACCTGCTTATAAAATCTGTCCTGTTCAGATAATATGCTGTTATCTAACAAGGTCTGGAAATGAGTTTTCTATTCTAGTTAATGGAGAATCTTAGCACATATTAAAGATAAATAGATATTTTCCAAATTAGAATTTGATTTTTTAAATCTACACTGAAATAAAGCCAGGGAGTCCAGCTGTGGGCAGATCCAACAAAGGAAGGCCCAGCAAGCCAGGCTTAGTCCCCTGGTGGCTACAAGCCATATGAGCAGCAAACAGCTCTGCTTGTTCTGCTTGATACAGTGGCTTTGAATGTCATTCCATTTTTTAAAGATTTCCCAAATTAACTAATTTTTTTTTCAGTTTTAAAACTATTTGTTTAAAAGGAAGTTAGTAATCTCACAGTACCTCAGGGCATCATTACTATAAATTTTTCTACCCTATAACTGCACAGAAGTACCAGGTAACAGCAATTGAGTAACTAGCATGTTAGGGAACCAAACATTTGTTAAAAAATACTTGGCATACAAAGTGATTCCTTTTTGGCAATTAAAAAGCCTCCTTTTTTTTTTTTTTTTTTTTTTGCCTTCCTTCATAGATGTCACTATTTATCCTAGGTCATTTCTGTCACTCTCCTGTCTTCTAATTAACAGCAGTGTATAAATAATGACCGTAGTACCTTGTTTCACAGAACCTGGAAAGGTCGCTGTCACACTCTGGACTCTGAAAAAAATACCACAGGGAAAAATCCTCAGAGCAGAGATGTCTCTGAGTATTCAAAAGAGTTTTCCTTTTTATGCCAGGAAATGTCCCCCAAACACTATAGAAACTCAAGATAAAACACATTTCTTGAACACCCCTCCTCACTATTTGCAACCTCTGTGGAATCCAATTTAGTAATTCAGCGTTTTGATTGCTTTTTCTGGTTTTGACTATGCCTCATTGATAAAGAAACAGAAACAAAAAAGATCTATAATATTGAAGGGTATTTCTTTTTATTTTATGGTATTCAATAGGTCCTCACACTCTAACTGCAAACCTTAAGATTTTTTTTTAATGTGCATACACACTAAAGTATTTTTTATGTATGAAAAGAGGTCCCATAGAAGAAAATGTCAGTGCATCAAAGCAGAAAACGAAAAAGCAGTCTAAAGGTGGGAAGAAATGACAGTAAAATATGGAAGGAGGCAGAGCAGTTCTAAAAAATCCGCTCAGCTGCATCTTAATTACCAAGATTCCAAAATAATCCACACACTTATCTCCTATGAGGTTTCATCCCTGCTCCCCTTTATTTTAACTGGATTGAATATTTTTGTCAGAACATAAGTATCATTCTCATCTAAACCATTCTTTAAGCCACATACCCTATTAAAGATTTGATATTCTGCTTTAGCCACATTTAAATAAATGCCAGAACTATTTAATATAATATAAATATTTCAGATAAAAATATCAGTAAATAATCCTTACCCAGCCAGATTGAGAATGTCACTGAGCCATTCTGTGCATGTGTCAAACACCTTGATAGAGCGATAATGGTCTAATTATCAGAACGCAGGTTAAATGGCTGGACCACCTGTTTCACATCAACATTAATATTCTGATCAGCTGTTGAAAGAGACAAGAACTGTCACTATTATCCTATACCAACTTGAGCTTTTAGAATAATAGACCTTGTGTCAATTATCATCTATTTCCACACAGTATTTTTTCTTTCCATATTTTTATTGGTGCATTATTGTTGTACACAATGTGAGATTTCTTGTCACATATTCATACATACACATAATATAACAATATAATTTGGCCAATATTCCTCCCCAGAACATACTCCCTCCACTACCCCTACCCTCTTTCCTCTGCTGATATCCCTTTGAACTTCGTGAGATTCCCTCCCCCACATCACAACTTTCTTTTCCTTTTTCCTCTCTAATTTCTACATACAAGAGAAAACATAAGACCTTGACCTTCTGAGTTTGGGTTATTTTGCTTAACATAATATTCTCCAGTTTCATCCAATTTCCTGCAAATGACATAATTTAATTTTTCTTTAAGGTAGAATAAAACTTCATTGTGTAGATATACCACATTTTCTTTATCCATTCATCCATGGATGGACACCTAGGCTGTTTCTGTAGTTTGGCTATTGTGAGTTGTAATTCTATAAACATGGGTATTGCTATTTTATATAATGACTTTAATTATTTAGTATAAATTCTGAGGAGTGGTATAGCATAGGCATGTGGTGGTTTCATGCCTAGTCTTTTCAGGATATTTCATACAGAATTAATAGTCACTGGTTTTAGCAACCTGAAGTCTGAATCTAAACATAAGTACTGAAATAACATATTAGCTCCCAGCAATAAAATATTCGGTTCTGCATTTTTTTAATTAGCTCTTTGCATATTTTCTTGGATTCCTTGATACACATGTCATAGCAGTAACTACCCTGTACTGGAATCCATTGGCAGTCAGCATTTCACCACCGAGTGCTCAACATGAACAAAGCCCTGGGTCTCAACAATGATCAGGAGAAAGACCATCTTAGCCATCACATTGCTGAAGGTGTAGTAAGCCCTAGGTCTTAGTCTCAGATCTACCACAAAACTTGAAGTTAGTTACATGAACTTGGGCAAATCTCTTAATCTCAGTCTCTTTTTTTCTCCTCTGCAAAATATGAAGTTGGACTAGATCCTCTCTAGTACTAAAATATTATGGATATTTATACTGCTGTCACTGCTGGGTTTTGCATCAAAGGAAGCAAATGAAAGTATTCATTATCCAAACATCTAAAGTTTACTGACTTGCACCTCACTATGAACACACAGGCCAACTAGGTCCAGTTTTAATCTTCAAAATTTCACCTGAGATAAGATCTTGAGTCCTTGAGAAGCTATAAGGAAAGACATTACACTTAATTGAGAAGCTGCAATAGAGGAAACTAATAGAGATCATCGCAAAAGGCTCATTCATATCTTCAGCTGTGAACCTGAGCACACAATGTTCCTTCACCCATACAGATAGGTCAAGTGCATTTAAACTTTCAGAAGAAACATATAGATTGACTTCTTTTATGCCTCTTTGATGTTTTAACTATTACTTATACTTATCCAGCATTATGTAACTACCAGGACTGAGAATTCAGAATCAGGAGCTGTGAGCTGAAGTCAAGTTTCTGGATTCACTCAAAATCACAGAGCTCCAAATCTGGAGGAAATTCAAGTCTACCACTCTCATTTTAAAAGTCAGGTACATACTCATTTATATACGCTTAACATGCACACATATGCATAACCAAAGGAATTAATTGATTCATATCTCAAAGCCAGCAAGAACAGCGAGGACTCCTAGCTCTGAACCCAGTTGTCCTTCCACTCCAGATCATGATGCCCTTGCCATATTCAGATGACAAGATCATCTCCAAAACTCTTTCTTGTCTAAATTCCCAAGCTCTTTGGAAATGAAAGAGTCCAGATGGCTCACTATCCTACTAGAAACAACTAAGTCTTCAATTTTCTGAGTGAACTTGAGAAGAGCTCTCTATCCATTAGAGTTCTCAATTGCAAGAAACATAAATACCTTGACCAATTTCAAAAGGAAAAAGTATTTTTTAAAGGATTTCTGGGTACCTTCCAGAACCACAAAATATGGAGATAGAGGCTTGGAGAAGAAACAAAAATAAAGGAATCTAAGCAGCAGCTAAGACCAAAACAGAAATTAGGTCACAGACCAGATCGGTGGGCTCCCCACTGCTGCACCATTGCACTCTGGACTGTGGGCACCAGCTGCAAGGCAGGTTAAGGAACACTCATCTGGCCTTTTCAGTGTCATCCATGGAAGCAGGCTCTGCTGGAGACTTCCCAAAATAAGCAAAAGAATTCAGATCCAGGGAAACTAGCAGCCAGTCAAAAAAAGAGAGCTAGTATGGTGATTCATGCCTGAAAAGACAGCTACTCAGGAGGCAGAGGCAGGAGGATAGCAAGTTGGAGACCAGTCTCAGCAAGGAGAGCCTGTCTTAAAATTGAAAGGGCTGGGGGTGTAGCTCATTAGTAGAGCACCCCTGAATTTGATCCCCAATACCAAAAAAAGAGAGAGAGAGAGAAAGACATAAAAGTATGGATGGGTGGGTGGGTGGATGGATGGATAGATAGATATTCTTGTCTAAAATAAGTAATACATTTCAGAAATTGAAGACATACATGCATGTCTACAGAAATTAAGCCCCCTTTAAAATTGACTGAAAATGATTACTGTACAGTATCCTAACATCAAAAAAATTATCAATAACATTGTAAAAACCCAGTTTAACATGATATGTATAACATACCTAGGAAGATGCACATAAAAATGTTGATGTCATTATATTGGAATGGTGGGAAATGAGTAATTTTTAAAAATGTATCCTCAGCTACAACTTCTAAATGTTCCTGTAATTTATAGTATTTTACCTGGAATAATTCTCAACTCAAATAATAATGTGATGAGGAACTTTCTAGTTGTACTGGTAAATTTCTATGATACCGGAAATTTTAACAACTTATAATGCCTTCTAAGTACATATTTATCATATTTACCAAAAAAGGGCTTCTAAGTGCTAATTTATTTGTGCAAGTTGTTTTATAAAAGTAAAGATTTTGATTTTCACATATAATGTCCTTAAAATTCAATCTTTTAAATTATTTTTTAAAAGGAAGCTGCCAGTTCTGACTAGGAGGGAGTTTAGTGTCTCAAAACACCTTGTATTTTCCTCTTTACCAACCTACGTATTTCCCTTCCTGTGGGCTTTATTGCTATCAGCTGCAGTTGCCTATAGCTTCCGACTGCTTTCACTCCTGCAGGGTTAATTTATACTACTTGGATGTCTTGGCACTCTTTCCTTCGTTTTCCCCTCCCAAAATACCCAAGCCTTATAACCCTTAATTTTACTACTTGATTCTATGCCCAGTCACTATTTATAAGTAGAGATAATCTCACATTCAGACAGATGGTCTGATGCACAATTCTGAGGTCTGTGATTCCATTAGTTTAATCACGTTATGACCTTAAGGCACAAACATGTTGAGGGCCCATATATAAACAAATAAACTGAACAAAAGGAAACATGTACACAGATATGGATCCTAGCTATTAAATCTACCTGCCACACTTTAAAGAAGAGGGAACCCAAAGTACAGTTAAAATCGCCTTTGTCATCTTTGATCCTGGGGTAAATCTTCCCCTCTGGGCAGATTAGGCTCCTAACATCCTGCAAGCAGCCCAGGCTCATTCCCTACCGTGTCTTAAACCTGAAGCATCTTCTTTGAATCTCTCCCCAGACTAAACCCACAAATACCTCAGGAAACACATTGCCACTTTCCTGAGGGATATACAGAAGTGTGACTAATAATGGAAAAGAGAGATACAAACCTCAAAGACAAAACATAAATGATAGTCATAGGTATGGCTGCTAGCAAGTACCAGACTACTTCTCAAAGCAATCATATGAGCATGGCTGTGTATACCTGCTGTTACAGACACCACAGTCATCAAGGTAAATATAACACAGTTCATGCTCTTACAGAATTTTTAGTCTAATGAGAGCAAATATGCACAAAAACTATTCAACATAGAGCTAAGTGCAGAGATAAAGGGAAATTTTTCCTAGAGAACAAGAATTTGGGGCTGGGGTTGTGGCTCACTAGTAGAGCTCTTGCCTAACATGTGCGAGGCCCTGGGTTCGATCCTCAGCACCACATAAAAATAAATAAGTGAAATAAAGGTATTTTGTCCAACTACAACTAAAAAAAAAATATAAAAAAAGAGTTTAGTTTTCATGAAAGATTTTTTCAAGAAGTACATTTTACAGATAAGAAAACTAGAATTCGGAGGTTAAATCTTTATAATCACTAACTAGTAAGTGATGGAGCCTGAAATCAGACATGAGGTACTCTGAAGCCAACATTCCTACCCTCTTTCCATTTGGGAAAATTAACCTATTCATCTGCATATTCCCAGCACGAAGTGGGTTATTTCCCTAGGGCCACCATAACAAATAGCCAAAAACTTGACCGATTATAACAATGGACATTAATTCTCTCTCAGCTCTAGAGATCAGAATTTGAAATCTGCTCCAGGCCTCTCTCCTGGAGGCTGGCAGGCATCACAAATCCTGTGCTCCTTGGCTGGTAGATGAGTCATTCCAATCTCTTCTTCCATCTTCACGGGGTCTTCCTCTCCATGTTTCTCCTCTGTGTGTCTGAAATCTCTCTCTCCTTTCTCTTATAAAAACAGCAGTCACTGGTTTGGGGATGAATACACCTGTAAAGACCCCTTTTCCAAGTGAGATCACATTCACAGGTACCAAGAGTTATGACAGACTTCTCTCCTTTGGGGGGAGGGAGATACCATTCAACCCACTACACCAAGCACATTGTTTACCAGCCTATTCCAGCTTTTATTTTCCATTGAACCTTCTTGCCTGAAGGCCTCATGTTGAGCCAAGGATTTATGGATAACGCTGAGAATGTGTACAGCCTCAGGAACGCAGGCAGACTCCCAGACCACCAGGGATAAGAGAGAGCCTACCAAGACCCACTGTGGCTATCTCATTCCATTTTTTTTTTCACTATTAAATTAATTGCTAGTCTGCTGGTTTCTTACCTATCAAATCCAGAATCACGACATCAGGCTAACTTCAGCATCAGCCTTCCCTATTTATTTACCAACTTTTCTGACAGTTTCAAGCATGGAGTTTTCTGCTCCCCTCTCCAAATCAAGTCAGCTCCCTCCAGCTAAACCCCCTCTTTACTTTTATGGCTTACCCCACTCTGGCCAAACTATCACATAACGGAAGGAAAGGTGGAATGGAATGGAAGCTAAGGGGAGGTGGAAAGAAAGCAGCTCAGGTTAATATTGCATAGACTATCACTGTTTGTACCCAAAATTCAGTAGTTCTGAAATAAACAATTATCCATTTGTTGTATGCCCTGGTCAATTTCCAGATATCTTGAGTGAGGTTTGTTTTGTTTTTTTTTTTTTAATCACATTGTCCAGTTTTATCATTGCTTTATTGGGAAAAGAATTGGCTATGCTCTCTACTCTGACAAACCAAAAGTCCCTCTTCCCAATTTCTAAAATATTAACTCAAAAGGGCCATTTCCATATTGCAACTGGCAACTGTATTCTCTGAAAGGAGAAGGTCAGGGGAACCTTTCTTTTTGTACCAGGGATGCTTTTACTACTGAGCCACATCCTCTGCATTTTTTTTTTAATATTTATTTAGAGACAGGGTCTCACTGAGTTACTTAGGGCCTCACTAAGTTGCTGAGGCTAACTTTGAAATTGCAATCCTCTTACCTCAGTCTCCTGAGCCACTGGGATTGTAGGCATACACCACCGCGCCCTGTTAGGGGAGCCTCTTGAAATGTTCATTCTGCACAGTTGGGATGGGACTGGACGTACCAGGGCATACAACAATTGAGTTCCCTCTTCTGTTCAAGCATATTTGTTGCCTACACTTTCTCAATATCTCAGTAATAAAAAAATAGAATTGCCTCAACCTATATTTTCTTACAGAACAAAGGAAGAGTTCAAAAATCTACATAAAATAACCCATCCATCAAGATGCAAATTGCTACAGCAATTGCAGATGATTTTGTACACACAGAGAAAAATACTCACCTATTATTATTGTCCACAGACCATATTGATGCACTTTAAATATTTATGAAGGGTTTTTTTTTGCTTCAAAAATCTATAAACCTGTTATTATGAAAAGTTTCCATAGTTTTTCTTTCTCTAAGTCAAATAGTCGATAACCACTCTATTTATAGTACAGTCCAACTAGAATATACCCAAATACGTAATCTTTCATTATTGACTTTGGGGCTATTGAGGTACAAAGCAATCATTTTTTCACATATACTTTTACATGCATATGCCTATAAACACAACTACAAGCTATCCCTTCTTACAGAGGCTATAAATGGCAATGACTGGCTGAAAAAATACGTTGTATTTAGCACTTCTAGTTCCTTTTAAAGTATTGAGCTAACAATTTCAAAATCCATATGTTTCATATAAAAGTATGGGTACCTGACTTTTCATCAGAAAAAAAATCTAGTGAAAATAATAATGACTGTCCTTTTTAGACAAGATCATGCAATCTCCAATATGTTGCAATCCCCACCTGCCCCTATTGTCTTACTGATATTGACTAGAAATGCCAGCTACCATCAATCATTGCACATGAATTAGTTTTCTTTGATTCAGAGAAAAATATATAATCAAATGTTTAGAGAACTGTTTTTCTGTTTAAAAAAGTCTATTAAAAATGGGGAAAAAAATAGAAACTAACAGTGTTATCTGATTATCCTTTTACTCAGTCCTCTTTACTCATTGCTGCCTTTCTGGGCCCTGTGGGAGCTCAGAAAATAGTACCCCCAAGTATGGCAGTTTGACATGCTGAGTACTTTGAACTAAAAAAGCTGCAGAAGCAAGGTATCTCTGACCTTCTCCCATTCCTCTGTTTGTCTCCCCTTTGTCCCTATCAAGGCACAGGGAGCAGGTGTCTCTGTAGACTCAAGAAAGTCCTTCCAGAAGAAAAGCAATTATCATGAGCCCATCCTCTTACTCTCACCAAACAGGAAAAGTAATTCAAAGGAAAGAAAACCAGAGTGGATGCCACATCCCAAGCCCAGAGGAATTTTGTCTCAGGCTGTCTTCTATCCTGGGGCTCACATATGTCCCCCAAAATCATTTACTCACTCTAAATTGCTTACTTCCTCCACTCTCCTATCTTCTTTGAAGAAGGTACCTGAATGTCTAAAGCTGATTAATCATTGAGTTCTCCCTTCCTGT